CAGAACTCCAAGCTTTTCATTGCTTCCCCAGGAAGGCAGACCTTTGTTTCTGAAATACCCAGATGATGCAGCTCTGCTTTGTATTCCCTCAGATGCTCTAAAGTGAGGAAAGAGACTGTGATATCCTTGAATCCCTACTGATAGCTTTCCTGTCAGCATGAGTCACTAAGGAATGGCAGCAGGAAAATTGGGGCGGTGGATGGAGGGGGATTGGGGTTGGGATCCACGCACTCATGCTCAGGACTTTGGTTAAATCCACATTTTAGTTTCAGGTTTTGTTTGCCCCCATCTGTTGATAAACAGTACTTTTGTGGGGCAAGCTCCTCTCCAGGTCGTATCCTAGTTCTCTTCTCCTGAGACCACAGCTTATTATTTCCAGGCTGGTGAGGCCTTCTAGGAATCAGTGGAACTCCTCTAGGTGAGACCATTGCTCTCCTTTCTCCTTTTCTCCAACCAGAATAACAGATGTGATATTGATTTCATCTTGGCTGTGGAAGTTCACTAATAACTGTTCTGAACTTTGTGGTATCTTAAAATTGGCCGATGAAATAGAAATTTGTAGATGAAACCACAAGTATCTCTGTAATCCTGGAGAAAGAGCCTCTGAATCAGATAACACTGGTTTTTCCTAGTGAGAAACAGATGGGACATTGATTTTGTGCTTAGAACTTATTACTTGCTTAGGAGCTTGGTGGCATTATTTAGCCTAGACCATTGAGAAATGTCCTAGTCATCTCCATCCATGGTTAATAATTTCATATACTTAGAGGCAGTCACTGAATTCAATACATAGTTCCCAAGGCTAATTTTACAAGACCTGCTTCTGGTTGTTTATATTATATGGCTTTCACTTAAAAATCTAAGATTGCAGGTGAGGGAGGCACATTTACTAGCATTGTTGTCATTGTTTAGTCACTAAGTTGTGTTCAACTCTTTGCGACCCCATGGACTGTATCCCACCAGGCTCCTCTGTCCATGGGATTATCCAGGCAAGAATGTTGGAGTGTGTTGCCATTTCCTTCTCCAGGGGATCTTCCTGACCCAGGGATCGAACCTGCATCTGCAGCATTGGGAGGCAGATTCTCTACTGCTGAGCCACCAGGAAAGCCCTTTACTAGCATATGTGTATTAAAAAGCCCCCTGTGGGACCCAGGACAAAGTGAATGTCCAGCAGATGGGGACAGTCACATATTTATGAGCTGAGATGGCAAAAGGGAACTTCATGTCATACTCTGGTTTCAGGACACATGAAGGGGTGCTACATGAATGTGCATTTCTGCCTCACACACACATCCTGAGTATCTCAAACCCCTCGGTGTTTCAGGCCATAGAAAAAATATTGTGAACACTTATTTTTACTTAGCCCCTATATGATACTTTACAGGAGAAGGTATTCTAAGTCTTATACTATTTAAAGGAAAATGTTGCATTTTCAAAATGGGGTTTGGGAGTTGTTTACTAAGTCTCATTAGGTTGGATGTTCTGTTTGCTTTAATAATCCAGCTAACATCAGGCGGTGAGAATAATAATCCTTAGTCATGTCACTGATAAGGGTCCTAAAACCCTTGAATAGCAATTGCAGTTGCATCTCTACAGATTACCCATGTAAATGAGAGGTGAGGACATAGGGTTTTTGTGTGTGTGTAAAGGGGAAGATGGTCTTGCCTGGTCGCTCAGTGGTAAAGAATTCACTTGCCAATGCAGGAGACTTGGGTTCAATCCCTGGGTCGGGAAGATCCCCTGGAGAAGGAAATGGCAACCCACTCCAGTATTCTTGCCTGGGAAATCCCATGGACAGAGCTGCCTGGTGGGCTCCATGGTGTTGCAAAGAGTCGGGCACGACTTAGCGATTAAACAACAACATGGGGAAGAGGCATTAGTATTTATTAAGTGTATTATGCAACAGGGTCTCTGCTAAATGTATCACATATATTTTCTCATTTCATACTTAAAACAATCTCATGAGGCAAGATTTGTTATCCCCATTTCACAGAAGAGGAAGTTTGGCAAGAGTCACAAAGATGATATAAGAAAGCACAGCTGCCTACTCAGTGGGCTCCGTGGTCTCTTGCTGGGCAGTTTTGAGCATATAGAATGCCAATCCAGTTGCACAGAAGCTTCTAGCAGTCTGTCAAGGCTCTGCATGACCATTTCCTCTTTCTGTTCTGAGAGGGAGATTCTTTAACACCTGCAAAGCCAGCACTGTTGCTGGCCCACTTCTGATTATAAGCCACACAGAATTTTCTCAGGCTTTTCTTGGAATGAGGTGTGTTTAATAAAGAGCCTTGTACCCAGTGGGCTCACAGAGATATGTTGAAAAAGAAAGTCATTTGCTGGAGCTAGTAACACTATCTCTCTGAAAAGAGTATACTTTGGGCAAGATCAGTATCATAATGGGGGCCCTACTGAGATGCATGAACTCTGGATACCAAACAGTCTCACTAAGGAGTTGTATAGTTGGGTATTTTATCTCACGTTGCCAAAAGAGGAAACTTCTGAATTAGTTTGGCCAGGTAGTGCTAAGCGCTTTTATGAGATATTTTCCTCTCAGCAGGGCTGAGGGAGCTGTCCATTCCTTTGTTTTCTGTCACAGACCAGCGAGTCGAGCAGCAGAAAGCTGCCACGACTCAGGCTCTAGGCAGGACTGTGACGTACCTTGAAAGAGCTAGTTCTGTTCTTTGTAGCCACATTTCACAGGGCAAGATTGGTCCTTAACTATTATATTGAGATAAGACTGTCTCCCATTATAGTAATTTTGAACCAAGTTCTACCTTCCCTTTCATCTCAGTCATAAATTTGGGCAAACTGTTCCTAACGGTACTGTTATGTCAGCCTTATAATCCCCACTGATTAACATGAAAAATCAGCTTACTGTTCCTCAAGTTGTGCTTTTTCATTCTTGGGTACAAACACAGTTTTGAAAACAATCTGGGTACAGTCTGAATCAACTGACCAGGTCTTTCCCTTCCCACACTCATCAGAGGGAGTGAGAGAAAAGAAACAGATAAAGGAAGAAAAAGGCGGGGAAGAAAGAGTGACAGCAGTGTTTATTGAGACAGAAATGGAACATTGTTCTTTTTTATGAGTTAACAGCACAGTTTGTTAAGAGGCTGGTTACAAACTCACTCCAAAATAAGGATGACCTGCAGTTCACAAAGAGCTCTGTCAGCTCTAGTACCTCAAGTCGGAGCAGCCTGCCAAGGGGGTTGAACCATTCAGCCCAAGATAAGTTACTGATTCAGCTGAATTTATATTTACTTCCTATAAATAACACCAATATTAGCAGTTTAAAATTCACATTTAATCACGGGTCCATTTTATGTTTACATGATCATTTGGTATCATTCTCTTAAATATTTCAGGTGCAGGTGGTCAATACAGAGCTTTTTTTTCTTTTTCAAACTATTCCATGATCTTTGGCACAGGTTCTGGTTTCTTAGCTAGGCTTAAATTGGCTATGCAGTACTGCAGAAACAGGACTATTTTGGATCTTGATGTAACTACAAGTTTATGTTAAGCATTATTTACAAGATGAGAGTCAAGCACAGACTTTAATACACTGTCTTCACAAATGAGCAGAAGAATGACAGGCAACAGATTTTAATGAGCAGGGGCTGAGATTACTAGACTACTAGTTAGTTAGAACCATCTTCCCTTGAAGAGGAGACAAGTTTCATTCAATGCAAGAATTCCCTGAACCACTGATACCAATGTCTCATGTCATGGGATTTACTTGGCAAGAATCTAGGATAGGGACAGTGCTTTTCTGACCAGTGTGGCTTACTCGATCCATCAAACCTATATTAAAATACAGCTTAGCTGGTAGCTTTGCCACTGTTATTTGGGTCTGATGGGTAGAAAAACGCAAAGTACTGTCATTTTAAGTGGGTATAATTGACCTTGGGAGAATTATAGTTGGATAAAATACTTATTAAACACATTCAGCTGGATAAAAACCCATCCAGCCTTATATGAGTGACATCTTTGTGTATAGTCTTATGTAGAGCTGATAATGGATTGCCTCCCAGCAGTAGCATCTGGAAGCTCTAAATGAGTGGCTGTGCTACCAGAATGTGTCTCTGCTTTGGGGCTGATACTCAGACATGAGACGAACAACTAGCATGATTTCTCATTCTAGTAGTGCTTATGAGAGAGGAGTTCTGATTAAGCCCCAAAGCAGATCTGGATTGCAATCATAGTTATTATTCAAGTACAAGGAGAGCGCTTTATTTCACATTGAGAGTTCAATTCTGACCTTTGTCTGGCAAATTATATGAAAATAATAAATATATACATATATATATATATATCTAGCTCTCTACTGAACACTGGGTCAGTAGTTACCAGCGTCCCCTTACAGTACATTGAGAAAAAGAAATCTCTCTTCTCCCCAAATCTCACACCCATCTTAAAACTGTTATTGCAGAACTGTGCTGGTCTGTTTTCTTTCAAAGTAGTTCCTTTGAAATTGGCTGGAGATGGGTTCAAAGTGGACAATTTGGCACATTAACTTTGGGGGGGCTGTTGTTTAGCTTCATTAGAGTCTATACAAATGTGAGAGGTCAAGGGAAATCCATGGCAATAGAAAGCCTGAGTAAAAATGTATAGTCGATGACAGAATATATGTATATATATTTTTTAAAAACCCAAAACACTGGTCTGTGCATGGGAAAGCAATTTCTCTTTCACATCTATTACCTAATTAAAACAGTTACGTCTATTCTATGTACTTTTCAATTCTGTCTCATAGAGTTTAAAAATTCCAGATATTACAGCTTTCCTTTTAATCAGTTTCCTCTCATCTTACCCCACCCCCAAATCCCAGAACCTGGTGAGCAAAAGCTGTGAATCCAAATACAGAAAATAATCTGGAGGTCTGTATATCAAATCAGATGTACATTTGGCTGTTAGTGTTTTCCTTATTTAATGTCTGAATTTGCTAAGAGATGACTCTCCTGGAGAGGTCCTTCACCACCCCCAGTCTTCTGAAGCCAGAGGCCCTAGAACTGTGAGGTCTGGGTGAATGAGATGGTATCGGACTTGTCGACAGCAAAGCCTCCATTGACGTAGGACTTCTTGGTGTCTGAGTCCTCGTTGTCAAGTGTTGTGGATTCCAAGGTGAAAGGGTTCACAATGTTGACCTCCGATGAAACATCCATCTGCTCCAACTCCTTCTTGGAGAGCTTCTCCACGATGCCAGTCCCAAAGGCATCTCCAAGGACATTTACCATGGTCCTGAACCGGTCCCTGGGGAGGACAGAAGGTGAGTCAGACACGAAGCCCGGGTTTCACTTTCCTTCGAGTTGGAGACAGGACAGGACCTGAAGAATTCAGTTATAAATTCAGCAAACCACAGAGGGTGCTTCTCAGGGCTGGCTAACCAGAGCCCCCAACTTCACAGGCCTGGATCAGGCGTTGTCTCTAAAGGCACAGAATGAGCACACAAGCTGCCCCGGATCCTCGTCAGTCACAACGCCCCTGAATCCAGCATCAATCTCCTAAATTCCCTCCTCTCCTCCCAAAGAAATGTGAACACAATCTCCACAGATATTTGTGGGGGTGGGGGCGGTCAGGATTCATTAGTCTTTCACCCTAGCCTCTGTCTTGTGTGCATTTCTGAGCTTTCTCTTGGCTAAGGTGAGAGAACCTGGATGTTTTGTGGGGTGCTGTGTGTGTGCCAAGCAGGAGTGTGTATCTGTGTGTCCCCAGTGTGCTGCTTTCTTTCCCACACAAGGTCACTCCATGAGCAAGCCAGCAAGGATGCCGCTGAGCACAGGGTCAGAAAACCCAGGTCAGCCTGGGAACAGCTTGCCCCTTGTGGCACCTCAGCTAGTGCTAACTCCCAGAAGTCCTGGAGGAGAGGCCAGCAGCAGGAGGACGAGGAGGCGGAGACGGTATCTTGGATGCTGGAGCACTGTTGCTGGGAACTGTCTATATGAATGTTCCTGTGAAAGCTACACCGGCAGGACAGAAAAGGCCAACAGTGCTCCCACATGTCCATTCTGGGTGCCCTCCTACTATATAGAACATGGACTGCACTAGACCCTTCTGTAGACCAGCCTAGTGTCTTTTTGTTCCATGGATCAAGTTGCACCTTTGACTTCTCTGGGTGTCTTGGAAGTGAAGGTCACCAGTGTTCCAGGAAGAACCAGGGAGAGGAGAGAGTGCAAATCTACCATCACCACTAGACAAAAGGCACTTGTCTCAACAGTAGGGTATCTTGACAATAGTAGGGTATCTAAGGGGTAGGGTAATTGAAGTTGGGCCTTAAAGAACCAGCAAGCTGTTGAGGGGACCCCAGAGCAGCCTCCCAAGTGCAGAAGCTTCTCTCCTTTGGGGATGTGACTGTACCTTCAAAGCCACATGGAATGTTTCTGCTTCTCTTTCTACCATTTTTAGCTGCTACTTGCAAACTGCATGGCACTGTACTCCCCAGTAAGTTCGGCTGGGTCTGAGTGAAGGCTCAATATGAGCAGACTTTTCCCCTGATGGCCAGGGGACAGAACCAGACCCAGATACTGAAAGACCACTGTACAGATTGGGTATCAAGGTTAAAGCCAGGAACCAGGCTCATTCTAAGTTTGACATTGGGGGTCACAAAAGGCATGTTTTTTACCCAGATCTGCTGTGTTCCTTAGGGAGGTATGTGTGTGTGAAAGAGAGAGAGAGAATGAACTTTCGGCTTAGGTTTGAATGGTCCAACTCATTCTAATCCTGACAATTAAACTTGCTGTTAACTGAGAACATACTGCCAGCCAGACACTGTTGTGGACACACTTCTCACAATAGCTCACTTAGTCCTTACACCAACCCCATGAACTTGACAGAATCATCCCCATCTCACAGATAATGCAGCTGGCCCCCATAGAGGTTAAGGAATTGCTCAAGGTCAAACAGCCACTGAACCAGGATTCAAATCCCAATTAACCTTATCCTGAAGCCCTTACTTGTGTCCTGACGGTGCTGACGATCTTGGTAAAGTGGGCTGATGCTGAAATAGGTGGTTCTGAACCTATGGTGCTAACCCAGGGCTGGGATAGGCTATGGTGGCCTGTGGGATTTGGAATGTCTGAGGCCTTGCCCAGTGTCTTCACCTTATTATTTTATGTTGTTTATCTCATCCCACACCCAGATCCTAACCTTGAGCATTATCAGGCATAATACGCTAATGAACATCACTGCCTTTATAAAATCACTGCTTGAAGTTAGGAGAAGTTAATTTTTAAGCATGTTATCAGATGGCCTGGTCAGAGGGACATTAAAGCAGCAACAGATGGCTCATTAGGCAATCTGAGGAGGGGATGATGACAGACTGCAGAGTCTGCATGGCTGGGAAGCATGCCTTCCCATCTGGCAGAGGCAACACATTTATTCCAACTCACAGGAGCCAGTCAACAGCGATGATGAGGGTGACATCCTCCGCGGGCAGGCCAACAGCACTCAGCACAATCACCATGGTCACCAGGCCGGCCTGGGGCACACCGGCAGCTCCGATGCTGGCGGCGGTGGCAGTGACACTGTAGACAAGACACACCAGCACAAAAGGAGTTAGACACCCATTTCTCCCTCCAGGCCCCTGGTCCACAGTGCTTAGTCCCGTGGTCTGTTACTGCTGTGTCCCAAACTGGCCAGTCAGAATCTGTTCCCTGATGAGCACCAGCTCTGCCTCATTAGGGAGTTGTGGGAGACAGAGGGGAGTGTGAGCTTTTTCCAGGGGGAGGTATGGCTCATCATTCTAATATGATGAAGTGGAGAGGAACTGCATGAGCAGCACACAATGAATGAGCTAGAGAGGAAGGCAAGAGTTTACCAACTGAAGGTGTTAATGGAGGGCGTTATCCACCCATCTATGCATCCTTCCATCCTAAACAAGGGCCAGGTACATCACCTGTTTGCTTCCCCCCTTCATCCATCTACTCAGCCAAGCAATCATTTATTGAGGATCTAATATGTGGCAGGAATTTGTACTGCTTTGAAGGATGGTAGAGGGATTGGGTTAGGGGTGCGTGGGCAAGGATATTCTGGGCGAAGGCAAAGGAATGAGGCACTAGCCAAGTAGGTTTCATGTACTTCCTTTACATCACAAGACTCTTGACCTCTCTGGGAACTGCCCTTTAGAGCACTGAGTTGAGAAATAGCTATGACTCCTGTCCAAGGTACAAGGCTTATTCCTGACTGCTCCTTTCTGCCAGTGGGTGCCCTTTGTGCAAAAGGAGGAGAGATCTGGAATCCAGAAGAGGATTTTAAAAAGGTCCCTCTCAGGTGGATAAAATGTGGCACTAAGGGTATTTCTCTTTGGAATAAGCAGTTTTTCATTAGCAACATCTTCCAGATTTAAATCTGGTCATTTTGAAGAAAACCAGGGTTTGCCCTGCCCTGAAAAGTTCCTGGATTTGAATGAGCTTTGAGGGGACCTATTATATTTTCTAGACACATGTTCTCATCCTTGGGCCAAGGATGCCACTGGGTTGAAAGCTGAAGATGGAGACACTGTCAATTTAAACTAGAAGAATCCCTGATTCTATCCACAAATCCATATTCTGTGGGCTCGAAAAGCCTCAGAATTCTCACCAATCTGATTTACTGCTCATTCATCTGCCTGGTGCTGTGTCACAGATGGTATCTGAGGGCCTGGTCAAACACAGACCAGAGTTCTTTAAGTGTGGTTTCCTTCAGTGGCTGTGACCACCAATTTGCAATTAAGAGATTTCTGGGGCTGTCCAAATCCCTCTAAAAGCTTTGGGCTTTTGCATAATCCTTTAGATCTGTTCTGACTTAAATAGTCTTTGGAAAAGCTAAGTTCATGTCAGTGCTGGTTGAAAACATTTAAACTGAATGCATCGGTGGGTTTTCTTTGTCAGAAGTGATTTGTGCCCCTACCCGTTGATCCTTATTGGAAGCCTCAACACATAATGGTTAACAATATCCCTATGGCTTGAGGCTGGGCTTGAAACTCAAAATCCGTTTTGTCAAAGAAAACTGCCCATTAGCCTTGACCTTGCTGATTAAACTTCAGCCATTTGCCTGGCTTAAGTCTGAAACTTGGAACTGTAAATCTTCAGATGGGAGTAAAAATATAAAAACCTACTTGTTCTGCTTGAATATATACTATTTTGACTTTCAAGGGTTTTCAAAGAAGAAGACACAATAATCATTGGTAGAAAGTTCTTTCCTAAGCACTGAGATCTAGATTTATGTCAGGCCATCTAACTCAGCTCTCCACACAGGACAGGGACTAGGTAGTGAACTAGAGTGAGCACAGGTTTTAGAGGCAGACAGACCCAGCTCTGCTCTTTACTAACAGCGTGTCCTTAGGCAGGTTAGTTCTCTGAATCTCAGTTTCTTGCCTGTAAGATGGGGAGAATACGTCTACTTTGCAGGGCTGCCGGTCAGATTAGATGAGATAAAACATGTAAGATATCAAGTACAGCACCTGGATATAGTAGGTGCTTAAAACAGGCCATTTTGCTCCTTCAGCAGCTGTTACAACTACTACTGCTAGTATTACTACTATTACAAAAATAACTACTGTTACTACTACTGCTACTTTTTTCCTCTAAGCTCTTTCTAGTTCCCAAATCCCCTAATTATCTTATATTGTAAGAAAATTTATCTCATTTCCAACCAGTTGTAACCTTTGGTAAGTGAGTATTATGACAAACCATAAAAGGCCATGTTTTGGGTGGATGGTGCCTGTGTTTCTTTGATGTCTAGTCCAAAAGAACCATAGAAAGAGAGAAACTATGGGTCCAAAAATCTTAAAGCCATAAACCACATAAGCCACAACTGTGACTTGTAAAATGAAAAGAAAAAAAATTGCACTGGACACTTCCCTGGTGGTCCAGTGGCTAAGAATCCACCTGCCACTGTAGGGAACGTGGGTTCCATCCCTGGTCGGGGAACTAAGATCCCACATGCTGCGGGGCAACTAAGCCTGTGCCACAACTACTGAGCCCAAGTTCTAGAGCCCTCAGGCCATGTGGAAAGATCCTGCCAGTTGCAACCATGACCTGAGGCAGCCAAAAATAAATATTTACAAACAAAAACAAAATGACTTCTTATTTCATTCTCTCTAGAGCCAGAGAGGATTTTTAAAGACAGTAATTACTCTGGGCCTCACAGTTGTTATTTGCTCTGGGCCAGTAGTTATCAGCAAGTTTGATTTAAAAATACAACAGAGCAGAAAGAGAGAGTTTTCATGTGATTATTTAGTCTCTAGGCCCAAAGTTTATTCCTCTAGCAGTGAGGTTAAAAAAAAAAAGGAAGGGGTTAGAAAGATCTAGGAAACTCACAAGCAAAGCAGAGGGAGGGAATTCATCCCCCACATGGCAAATAACCGCAAAGAACTGGCACTTCATACAACTGCTCCCTGGAAATGAGTTCAGCACAGAGTTGGTGCCACAGGCTGAGGTGAGGGAGGTGGGAAAAGGCACTTGGAGAAGTGAAAGAACAACTGCTAGAATTACAGTGGTTGTGGAACTTTCTCAGGCATGATTCAGGGTTTTACTTTTAACATGCTCTCCACTATCCAAACTAGAGAACTTCACTCATGCTCCTGGGCTCCAGCCTCCTTAGCCACTAATACTCTTTACAGATCATGAGGCACTGGTGTAGTTTCCCAGCTTATGTTCCAAATGGTCTAGTTTGGACTTGTCTTCAGTTAATTTTAAGCAAACTGCAATAAATATGATTTAGGATTGGGAAGATCTAAAAATTTACTGCACTAGAACACTGTAAGAACTTACTTTATGCCTAGGATTATGCCTATGTCACATGCTGAGGATGTAAGAGTGAATTAACCCTGAAAGGTTCAGATTCAGCAGTGTTTAGGCCTAGGGACCCAGGTTAGTCTTAAACTTCCACCCTAAACTAAGGGCTTCCCTGGTGGCTCAGATGGTAAAGAATCTGCCTGCAATGCAGGAGACCGGGTCCAATCCCTGGGTCAGGAAGATCCCTTGGAGAAGGGAATGGCAACCCACTCCAGTATTCTTGTCTGAAGAATTCCCTGGACAGAAGAGTCTGGTGGGCTTTATAGTCCAAGGGTTGCAAAGACTTGGACATGACTTTCAAACTCAGCTAAAGTCTTAGGATTATCTCTAATCCCAATTCATCACTTCAAAGCAGCACTGTCCAGTAGAATTTTCCACTATGATGGCACCTATTTCTACAGTGATAGAACCTTCATGTCTACTCTGTCCAATTTGTACATGTGCTAATGGCTACCAAATTGAACAGTGCTGTTCCAGAGAAACACCTCTGGCAAAATTCACTAATGACATTTTCACCATCTACTTGAGCAGGCAATTTCAGGCTTCACTTGACTAGAATTCTCTGCAAGATTTGACTCTGTTGACCATTTCATCCTTGAAAATCTCTCTTCTCTGGGTTTCTATGACACCATGGTTTCATGACTCTTAACCACCTTTCTATTCTCATTCTCCTTTTGGGTGCCCCCCTTTCTGCCTGCCTCTAATGCTAGGATTTTCTAGGGCTCACGCATTAGTTTCTGTCTCTTCTCTACAAACTCTCCCATTCCCAACAATTGCTGAGCACTCAGTATGTAGGTACCATTCTAAGTACTTTATATGCATCATCTGACTTAATAATCACTATTTGCATAAAATGTAGGTACTATTATTATCCTCATTTTACAGATGAGAAAACAGAAGCTTAGAGAATTCAAGATCACAGCTAATCTTGGTGAAGCAGAGTCAAACACAGATAACTGACTCACAACCCACATGCTTGATGAGCATCATCAAACTGATGACTCTGACTTCTGTATCTGCAGTCAAGACCACATTTCTCACTGTATGTTTCCACCTGGATGTCTTAAAGGATTTTCACATTCATTGTATCCAAAAGTATAAGCTCTTAATCTTCCCACCTATACTTCATTCTCTTACACTAGTCCCTGTTCTGATAAGCACCATCCACCAATACGGGGGGCCATCTTAGCCTTCCTCTGTCCCTCACTCTGAATTCAGTAGATGCCTCTTGAATTAATTAGCTCTTCACCCGTGGGTCAGTACCTTAATGTAGGCCTTTTCATACTTTACCTGCAGTAATCTTCTAACTGGTCTTCCAGCTTACAGTTTCTGCCCCCATTCACATTCATCCACTAAATTGCCAGTTACCTTTCTAAAATGCAAATCTTTCTATAATATGAAAGACTGTCTTAAGACCCTTCCATGAGCTCCTCACACAAATCCTTCCATGATATGATCCCTGCTTTCTTATCTCCCTATGTTCTCCACACTGTACTCTTTATGCCAGCCACACCAACTCTGTACTGTGTAACTAGGAACTAGGACACGGTTACATCAAGACCCCTGTTCAGCCTATTCCTTTTATTCAAAATGTTCTCCACTTCCTCTATCAAATTCTTACTCCTCTTCTAAGACTTAGCTAAACTTTCCTCTCTTCCAGGAAGCTTTTCCTCACCTTCCCAGGTGGGCCAACCCTTTCTTCTTTGGTGCCCCCTGTGTCCCACATTCAAACCTCTATTATAGCCTTTACCATATCACTCAGTACTTATTTGAAGTGAAGTGAAGTGAAAGTCTCTCAGTCATGTCTGACTCTTTGTGGCCCCATGGACTATACAGTCCATGGAATTCTCCAGGCCAGAATACTGGAGTGGGTAGCCATTCCCTTCTCCAGGGGATCTTCCCAACCCAGGGAAGCCCACTTATTTAGATATCTGTACACCCAACTTATCTACCGCTTAAAAGCAGGAACTACCCCTTACTCAACCTTGATTCCTTGATACCTACTCTGTGCCTAGCACCTTGTGGGTGCACTGGGCTGAGAACACAGAGACTCCCCGGCTCTGAGACCTGATGCAGTATTACGTACCACAGTCCTGCTGCTTGTAATACAGATGCACTTAATCCTGGGAAGAGATTTTGTAGACCACAAAAATAAGTCTACAGCTGGACCATCCATGATCTCCCTCCACAGATGAGTTTTACTTGAGAGCAATTCCAGTTACAGAGATGAAAGTGAGTGTGACTTCATGCCCCACCTGATAGTGATGATCTGCCCAACGCTCAAGTCCAAATCATTCAACTGCGCAATAAACACGGCCGCCACTGCTTCATAGAGTGCGGTCCCATCCATGTTGATTGTAGCACCGACGGGTAACACAAATCTAGTGATCCTCTTGTCCACCCGGTTCTTCTCTTCAGCACAGCGGAAAGTGACAGGCAGTGTTGCTGAACTGTGTGATAGAAAGAGAAAAGATATGATGGCCTAGGAATGCTGGTCCTCAATCCCTGCCTGAAGTGACACCTCAGTTCCAAAAACTAAATCGAGAGCTCAAAGCATGATGGCACTTTTGGTAGGACCAGTAATCAGAAGTTGCTGTGCTTGTCACTGTCCCCGGCTATGACACAACCCTCTCCTGGGTTGCAGGCCCTGCCAAGAGGGAAAGAAATATCCAGTAGGATGAAGAAATGTGTGTAAGGTCAGAAACTAGGGAGATCATTTCTCAAGGGCAGCTACAAACCACCCCCCAACTGTAATCGGTGCTTCATTAGGTGAGGTGAGAATTGATAAGTATTGGCCCATAGACTTCTTCCAGACACCCCTCTTCTTTTAAAAAATTAAAAAAAAAAATTTGTTCATTCATTTGGCTGTGTGGGGTCTTTTTGACAGGCAGGATTTTCGATCTTCATTGCAGCATGCTAGGTCTCTTAGTTGCAGCATGTGGGATCCAGTTCTCTGACCAGGAATTGAACCTGGGCCCCCTGCATTGGGAGCATGGAGTCTTGACACTGGACCACCAGGGAAGTGGTGGTCCACCAGACACCTTCTTCTGTTTACCTGGAGGAGATCATGAGAGCTGTCAGAAGAGCCTGGGCCATTCCCATGGCGAACTGGAAAGGGTTCTTTCGTACAATTATGAAATATATCAGTGGGAGAATTAAAATGGAGTGGATTGCAAGCCTGTAAACAGGAGAGAGAAACAGGTTCACAGATGATACTATCTCTTCATTTTTTTTTCCAAATAGCATTTTTACTCATGATATCATTCAACTTTCATTATGGTCCCGTGAGAAAGAGGACAGGAATATATGTCTCCAGTGAACACATGGGGAAGAGGAAACTCAGCAAATCAAATATCTTGTCAAAGTTGGTGGCTAAGCCAGTAGCTAAGTCCACCTCTTAGAGCTCACAGAATAGTTGTGTCATGCTGCCAAGCCCTGTACCTGCTTTTCCTGCTGTGCGTGCTAACATGCTTTCACTTCCTTCTGCTGTTGAATTCTTACTCCTCCTCTAAGACTCAGTGAAATCTCCCCCTCCTCCTGGAAGCCTTCCCTCACCTTCCCAGGTCCAGCTGACCTTCCCCCCCTTGGTGACTCTGTGGTCAGCAGTATCAGCACTCAGCCTGGACCATGCCAGTATCCAGCTGGACAGCACCACCATCCAAGAGGGGAGTCAGGGTGCGTGAGGAGGAAGTTATCCTTGCTCTCCTACAGTCATATTTCATGACTGCCCTCTTTTCTTTGTCATTCCTACATTCCAAACTGTTCCTCGTTTCACAAACCAAAGGGCTTAAAAAACGAAACTGATTCAGCAGATGCCATGTAAATGGCAACTCAGAGTTTACAGATCAGTTATGTGAAGCTGAAATAAGAAATGGTCATTTAAAATATAGATCCTGGAGGTCAAGAAAGGGATCTTACAGACAGCCTATGGCTTAGAACTATGAGAAATTGACTTTTAGTTTTCTGTTAGGAACCTAGATAGGTTGATGGGGCAGAAACCAGCAGAACCCTCTCATTAAATAGCTCAGCATAATAAATCTCAGCCATACCATGGCCTGGACACAGCCCCTGGCCTCCAATAAGGTGGATGGTCCCACCTCCATTACTACTGGGGCCCTGGAATTTGACTCTGGCCTTCTTCTCTATTGACCAGCATGACTCTGCTTTTAGTAAACACAGATTAAGAACCTAATCCTATGCAGTGGATACTCCCCAGTGCAACTGAGTTCCAGCAGGTGAGCTGATGATTCCTCCTGCTGGGTGTTTGGGGGAACTGACCTATGTGAGTCAAACTGATGATGGTTAGTCATTACCCTGGTCCATATTTCTTAGCATATGTGACATATCCTGCCCTCGGACCAACATCTGGTGGCACCATTCATAACCTATCCCACTACATCTCCCCTCAAGGAACCAATAAGTGTGCTACAGGAAATATGCACACAGCTGTCTCCTGCTTTGCACAGTTCCTACCAACCTGAAGATTCTCCAGCACCCTCTCTGATGATGCAGGGTGTTAGAGTGCTTACCAGACCCCCAACAGGGTTGGAACCAACCACCCATCCCACTCCTGCTTGCTCCAGTCCAATTTAATTTAGGCCCTGCCTAATTTCTTTCAGGCTCAGGGTACATGGGGACTGTTCTTACTTGTTTGGTTGGTTTACAACCTTGAAGAAGCGAAGGCCAGGAGAGGGCCAAGAGAGGCTACAAGTGGGTTTTTCTTTTAAGAAATGATTTTAACACAGCTAATAAAGGCAGTGACAAAGCAGGGTCCAGGCTGTTCCGCCAAGATCTGGAAATTAGCACAGTGTGATCCACCTCCAGTTCAGCTGTTAAAGGGCAGCCCTTCTCCCCATTGCTCTCTTATCCCTGAACCTCATCTTTCCCTGCCAGTGGGAGAGAAGCCAGTTTCACCAACTGAAACCTGGCCTCTCAACAGCAATGCATTGGCTCAAATGAGGTTGCAGTGTCTTCCCTTGAGTCTGACATACCCACTCAGGACGGTGGCCATGTAAAGGCCCAGTTTGCGGAATATTTCCCAGTCTTCAACTTCTATGATCTTCCCAGCAATCAGGAACAAGATACCAATTGGCATGTAGCTAGAAAGTAAGCACAAGAAAAGACATACTTCTGTCATCAAATATTTTCTCAGGGTGGAAATGCTGGGAAAGAAACAAGCCAGGGCATATACCTCGGCTTGGGGTGTGCCCTTAGCTGGGAAGGGCACAGGGTATACACAATGAAGCTAAGGTCTCAGTTTCAGCCCAGCTGGACTACACTGGCTACAGGTTTCAGCACCCCTGTGCACCTTAAATTCTGCCCACCTATGCCACCATAAGGGGTACTCTGGTCCATACCCCATGCCTTGCTCCTATGCACATACACCCTGCTGACTGTCATGTCTGCAGGTCTCTCTCTAGCTTGACTCTCCAATCATGGCCTCTAGGCTGTTTCTAGACACAGTCATCTTGTTTCCTAGGTAGTGGTATCAGCAACAGAACCAGTTATGTAATAGCTCTGTTGTGATAGCTCTGTTTGTGGAGCTATCATTACATGCTTTGCATTAGGTTAGGTATTTCACATGCATCATTCACTTATGTACTCCTCCCAACTCGAGGGGTAGACTTTATTATCCTTTTTAACAGATGATGAAGCTGAGGTTCAGCAGGATTAACTGAAATAACTAAACCCTTTACTGTCACTGTCAAGGTCTATACTTCGAACCAACTTGCTGTGAGATAAGTGAGGCAGAGGCCTCCCAGGCCAGGTGGACTTTTCAGCATCTCCAGGGACAGGGCAGATGCTCAGGTGGTGCAGCTGCTATGCTTGAATATGGCAGCTTTCATTTGGATGTATTAGGGCCCATGTGTACCTACTGTATCCCTTCTGCATGGGGCCTGATGAGGAAAGCAACCTGTGTTCTGGAAAACTCCTCCTTTAAGAGTTCTTTCTTACATAAATGCTGCTTGGTTGCAAGATGATCAAGGACCTTGGTAGAAAAGACAATGGCTGATCTCTAGACTTTCATTAGTGAACTGAGTCCTAAGGAATACGTGGAATTATTTAATATTCTAGGGTGAGGTGAGTTGAAAAACATAAACCTTTTCCTTCTAGTTTTGAAGGGTCAGCCATCGGGGGAAGCAAGATGGCATTAACTGGTGTCTGCTCACCACATAATGATCTGAACGATTTTCATGGTTGCATCACTCAGAGCATTGAAGAAATCCACCAGAATCTGTCCCCTTTCTCCCATTTTTCCAATGACAATTCCAAAGACGAGGCAAAAGACGATCAAGCCCAGGACATTTATGCCATCTGAATACATGCCTACGACTTTATATTCCTTTGTTTTGTTCTGTGGATCAAAACCAAGAAAATAATATTGATGCGTTATTATAATCTTGTTAGAATGCATAGGCCCTGAAACAGGAAGATATGATAGCCAAACAAACTAGTGACCTAGCAACAACTTAGGATCAATGAGTTTAGGAGCAAAAAAAAAAAAAGCAAACCACCTACTCATGTATTAAATTTTACTGCCCCCACCTCTGGCATTGAAGTTTGAAGTGTTTTTTTTCCCCCCTTCTCTTTCAGCAAATCCATACTTGAATATTTCTTTTGAAGATTTCTTATTCTGGGGTGTTTTTAATTTTTAATAACTTTAGGCACTTCTCAGTTATTTTAACTAGTAGTTACATTAGGAGTCTGCATAGAAAGATACAAATTAATAATGCAGGAAGCTCAAAATATTTACAAGTGCAGACATTTTTAGGACACTTTACTATCTATTTTATCCTGATAATGAACACAGGAACATTTTTTACTGCCTCTAACCTTAGATAACCAATAGGATTTTATTTTAGATAAAAATTAACCAGATATCTACTACTATGAGCCGTTTCTTCATTTTATCCTGGGTAAGAATAGCAGGGGGACTTCCCAGGTGGCTCAGTGGTAAAGAATCCGCCTGCCAATACAGGAGGTAAGGGTACAATTCCTGGGTCGGAAAGATCCCCTGGAGGAGGAAATGGCAACCCACTCCAGTATTCGGGCCTGGAGAAATCTCAGGGACAGAGGAGCCTCCGTGGGCTGCAGTCCATAGGGTTGCAAAGAGTCGGACAAAACTGAGCGCATGCGCGCGCGCACACACAATCATGAGTAGCATGAGATATACCAAGAGATAATTCAGTCCTAGTTGTGCAGCATGAGCTTAACTGAGAGATTTCACAGGAAGATAACATATTCTGAGTGGTGCAAACCAGGTTTATAAAGAATTATGTGGATGAGCCACTGGGATACCAATTATTTCTTACTTATGATCTGACATGATCAGACACATATTTATCGAGCAGTTAGTGTGTTAACTGCATTGGCTACAGTGTAAGGTCTTAAAATGCAGCTGGACAGACAAGACTACCTGTGAGAAACATAAGCCAATGATAGCAAGATGGTGTCTAATTAACTGCACAGCCAAGCTATGAGTTACAGGCATCATGTGGAGACTGGAGACATGAATGTGGGCTGTGAAGATAGTGAAGGACAGGCCCGAGCAGCAGGCAGCCAGGAGATAAGCAGAGATCTAGAAAGCAGACTCCAGAAAAATGGTAAGGAAAGGCAGACATCATCACACACCAGGTCTCTGTACTCTACTCATCCTTTACAGCCGCCACACTAATTTAGACTTCCCTATTCTATTAGGGAGTATTCTATTCTTTCCAACTGTAATATTCATCACTTTTCACATGAGAGCATATATCACATGTGTATTTTCTCTGTCATATCCCAGTGCCTACCAGAGCTTGGCTTATGGAGAGTGCTCAGAAAAATCTCTGTGGAACCGTATCAAGAAGCAAGAGCAGGAATTCATTGAGGAGTTGGATCTGGATAGAATAGATTGGGCTCACCGAGAAGTAAGCTGGGAAACCAGGGAGGAGCCAGGTCATGGAGGGCTTTCTGTAGGGAAAAAGAGGGAGCTAACCGTGGCCTATTTAATGTGAACTCCTAAATCTACTGCATTTTTTTTTCCCCTTAAATTTTTCCTTCCTGAGTGAAGGCAGAGTACATTCAGGAGAAATCTACTACAGGATTACAAATGTACTACTTCAGGCCAACCTGATCTAATCTCCAACTGGAGGAAGAAATGGCAACCCATTACAGTCTTCTTGCCTGGAGAATCCCATGGACAGAGGAGCCTGGCAGGCTACAGTTCATGGGGTCATAAGAGTCGGACACAACTTAATGACTAAACCACCAGAATCTTTAATGATCAAATCCTAAAAGTTCTCAGAGCCAACTGATTTCATTGATAAGTTTATGGCAAACTCCTGGTGGCAAAACCTATCCTGAACTGAGATAAGGCTACAGATAGCCTATTTTTCTTACTTAGTAGCCACATTGTAAGTTAGTTGCAGAAATGTTGATGTGCTTGATTCTAGATTATTATTGCCAATTCCACTTAAAGATGTTGTATAACATATAGTATACACACCACCTGGCCCTTCTAAAGTGAAAAACTCTGGACTCAGAATCACATTTGGGCAGAGAGTTTTAAATAAGGAACTGCAGGCCTGCATTCCATGTTTATGTGGTCTTGCAAGTCTAACGATGTTCCCAGAGATACCCAACTCAACTCTGGGTGGCAGAGACAGAAGTGACAGGACTCATTCTTTTCTCTGTATGGTTCAGTTGCTCTTCATTATTCTCAGAAGTTATACTCTATACAGTGTCCGCCAACACTGACTGAGGGAATATTGAGGAATGTTCCTAAGGGGAAACAGAGGATTAGGTTCCTAGGAATCAACAGTAACATCATTTTGGTCAAATAATCAATATGAAACCTTGTTTTCTCTGCGTTTTAGTTCAAAGACACCTTATTTAATATATATTGTTTAATCGCTAACATCAAACTCACTTTAACTCATGCCTGAATGAGACTTCTCTAACACGTGTATTTTCTCACATGGACCATCAGCTTTTTCTTGTGTTTGGGAACACTAACTAGCCAGCAGTGCAGCATGATGGCTGGGAGACATTTCAAACAGTGAAATTACCAAGCTGACGCACAAAACTGAGAAAAATGTGGCAAAGACATACCGCACAGAGGACACATATTTACCATGTAAGAGCTGAACCAGGGAGGGGATGTGTGTATACATACTGCTGATTCACTTCGTTGTACAGTAGAAACCAACATAACATTGTAAAGCAATTATACTCCAATAAAAAAAGGAAAAAAACAAACTGCTGAACCATGAGGGCAGAACATAGCCTTGTTCGACCTCAGCTGGGACATGTGCATGGGCGAATTACATTTTTCACCACTCTTGGTGTGTCTGTGAATGACCAGCACCATACTGATTTTCGGGTTACAAATGCATTTTAGTACACAGGCAAATTCACAAATGTGTTATCTGAGAACAATGAGGATCTACTTATTTCCATCTCCTGCTCACTCATGACTTGGCCCCTGCCTATTGGGGAAGGGAGCAGACAAAAGGATGTAAGTGGTACCTTGGAAATGGCAGTTGTCATGATGGCTGTGACAGACGCTTCGGTGCTGTTTGTCCCTGGCTCCTCAGAAAGCTTCACTTCTTCACGTGTGGTTTTGTACTGCATGTTGGAGGGGGAAAATGTCAAATAAATTAAAAAATAATTTTTAAGCTCCTAAGGATAAACCATAGGAATGTTACTTTGGCCAGATAAGTGTCACTGAAAGGTTCCACCTCTGAGGCCTCTATCGGCTTTGGTTTTGGACGGTACTACCCCTGAGGCTTTGGAAGCAAAACTGGGATTGAGAACTCCAACCCTCTGACCACCACAGCCACCATTCAATGGTGTCAAAATGTTCTCTCACTTTTGTAGTAAGGGACCAATTAATGGAACAACAATGTAGAAGAAAGCATAGGTTTTATTTTTAGGTACTTTAATAGATTCTACAGGAATCCTGTCAGTCATTTTTGTTTCTATTTATTTATTCATTTATTATTTTTAACCTGGGGAAAAAACACCACATCACTTTAAATTTAGTCACCATGATTTTAGTAAACATCAAGAACTATATGGTTGTTCCAAAGTCAATAGTCCCTTTAGGGCTATTACGTGAGTGAGATTTCTGTTAAATTCCCTTCCTTCACCTGTTTGATTCTGCTGAGCTTCAGCAGAGACATTTAAGAAAGAGCTAGTATATCATCACAGTGGGCATAAATGTTACTCCTACAAGGCTCTGCCAACACCAAGAACCTTACAACTGACCACTGTGGCTGAACCGCAAATGCACCGCCTAAATAGAGGTGGTTCTGTGCCTCTTGGAGGTCAGCAGGGAGCAATTTAATTGCCATTTTTGTTGGTCAACATAGAGGTGTCTGTTTGTGTAATTTATGTAAATGAATTCAGCAGCTTGTGATAGACTCAGCTGTCTTAAAGTGCATAGATAAACAAGAGAAGAAGGCTTAAAGGAAATGGAGTGAAGAGATTGTGAAACTTCCCTAAAGGAAAAAAAGTGGCTTTGTTACATTGCTCTGTAGAGTGCCAGCAGTGGGAACGTAGTGATGAAAGAAAATACCAGATACCAGGAACACTAACCACCCACACGGGTCACATACTGATTTCCCATCGTGGGGGTGGAGGTTACCTTTCCTAATTGCATTATATCTGCAGATAGTCTGAGCTTCTTCACAAACATAAAGTGGTTCTCTGAAACTACGTGCTAGAAGCCAGATTTGAAAACACTCATTATTTGACAGGTTCTTGACTTGCTCCAGTTGAAACCATTTGGGGAAAAAATGAAGCCTAAGGGAAAAGGGAGCAGTGTAAGCTACAACAGGCATGCTGCTATGGCTGGAAAGACTGGGGTTGACAGGTCACCTGAAATTCCTCCATTCACAGGTATTAATACATCACCCCCTTTTTGATGGGCTAATTCCATTTCTTAGGTCATAGAAGAAAAAAAAATCTTAATGGGTAAGGAGGAAGAGTAGAACAGCTTGAGGGCAAAAATCATTATCCTTACCTGCTGAAAACAGGCTTGGACAAGGTTCTCAGGGAACATATTCCTGTTGGAGACATGAAAAGCAGTATCACATTAAGACAAAAATGGTTTTTGTTTGTTTTTGTCGCACCCAATACATTGATGGAAATGAGTATGCTATAGAATTAGTACTATGGTTTTGGTCTCGCCTTTGCATAATGCTTTCTGTATTAAGATTTCTTTTTCCCTACTGAGCTTCAGTTAGGGGATAGAAAGCTCTCCTAACTAACCATCACACTTAACTGATTCATTGAGTAGCCAACACGGTTGCTGTCCTCGGTGAAATATGTACTAGCAGGTGGACACGCACAGTTAAGAGACTTCTTTAAGATTTTGCACATTTCTGTTTTCATCAATGAAAGTCGACTGCACTTGTTCCCAAATTCTTTATGCCAGTTGCAAATATCATTGTAATTATTGAATGAAATATGTAAATCAGTGCAATATGAGTGTGAAAAAGAAGGAGCAGTTTCTATAAAAACTAAGCTGGAATGCCTGGAAACTCATTCAAGGCAAGTGAGTAAAATTTCTATTGTTGCGTTAGGTAAGGGAAGACGACTGAAATAAAAAGAACAGCCGACAGAACTCAGCTCTCAGCTTTCCTTGCAATTTCTAAGGGTTTTGTTGCTTTACTTCATGAAAACTGAGCCTGGAAATTGTAGATGATGCATTTATAAAGGCAGCCTAGGCAACAGAAATATGAAATTACAATCAACTGACACAAAGAAATGACCTTGGCCCCACATAAAAAAAGGGTAAATAAATGCCTTTAAGTTTTAAGCATAAACAAAATACGTAGTGCATATTTATGACTCTCTGCTTTAAATGCTGTTTTTTAAAATTAACTGACCAATCTGTAGCCCCGATTGTTTCAGATAAGAGGGTTTCTCCTGTACAATTAAAAAATATATTTCTTCAAGTTGCTTCAGAACCAACTACCCAATACAGCCCAGCATCTTAATGCAACAAGTATCTTTGGGCATCTCTGTCCATCCTAAACCCTGACAGAGACCCTGTTCCTTCCATTCCTTTGTGGAACCATCACCTGGCAAGCAGGACTGGATATGTAACTTGCAGGGACCAGGGCAAAATTAACACATACAATAATTTTAAAATTATGAAAAAATTTCAAGATGGCATTAGCAGAGCATTAAACCAAGCATGGGGCCCTGTGAACCACATAGGCTGTATGCCTGTGAAGCCATGCTGCTGGTCGGACACCCACCTGATCAGGTCTAACATGGCATCCACTGTGCTGACTTCAGGGGTGTTCCCTGTCCTGTCAATTTCATTCACTTTCTGGGTGACACCAGGCTTGATGCTCACCACCAGCACGATACCTGTAACCAAAGATAGCACCCACAGAGCATTAAGAATCTCCCAGGGCACCTGATACCTCTTGTGCATCCATCTTAGAGTACCAGGCAATAGTGGGATGGGGACCCTGAGAAATCTACTCAAAACACCAAGCCTCAGCAGGAACCTCAGCAGAATTACTGCCTTAATTACTTCCCATATAAATAAAGCAGAAGGAACTCTTCCTGTGTGTTTTTAAAAAATGAGTGGCTGCATTCCAGAACTGCTTCTAGAAACACTTGCTGATGAGAATGCTCTTTTCTTCCTTAGCTTATGAGATCTGCCTCGGCAGGGGTTGGGGTGAGAAGGACTTATTTTCCAACTCAGGGTTCTCAGCATCTTTCTGTAAGTTTTACCCATAGATGCTGGTATTTTTCTGAGGGTCACACAGAATAAGCCTTATCTTCCTGTCATACCACAGCCATCAAATATCTGAAAAGCTGTGTGTAACCCACAAAAGGATTTAGGTTAGGGAGGGTTGTTCTGTGTGACTCTTAGGGGGTGCAATGAGAACAGGAGTTCTGAGGAGAGAGAGTTGATCTTGCTGTAAAGAAAAACTGTTTAAACAGAGGGCATCTGGGGCTTCCCTGGAGGTCCAGTGATTAAGACTTCATGATTCCACTGCAGGGGATGCAGGTTCAATCCCTGGCTGGGGAACTAAGGCCTTGCATGTTGTGCGGTCAAAAAATAAAAACAGAATCTGAACGCACCATTTTGGAGCTAATGGGTTCTGCTTGAGGTGTCCAAGCAGAGGCGGGAGGTTTTAGGAAAGACCAGGTTGATGGACTGGAGGGGAGTAAAGAAAAGGCCCCATGCCCTTATCACTCTTATCAAAGAGAAATGCCCCTCCAACGGGGTAGGACTTAAGAATGCTGAATGCATTAGTTTTCCTGATAGGAGGAGTCAGTGGGCAATACAGGGGCCATGAATGGGTGTGGTCTACTCTTCCCTCTCAGGGTTGCAGAAAAGATATCAGCCCAGCTTTGTTCTTTGTGTTGGCCTCCCTCAGGAGCCTAATGAAATGTGGTTTTGGTTTAAGGCAGGGTTCAGGGCCTCCTAGGTCGCCAGGCTTAATACTATTAAAATCTTACCACATCCTCAGTTCATCAAAGCAGAGCTGTAAGGGTCAAGCTGAGTTCACTGCCCCCCTCTCTTACCACTAGGGGCATCCTTCTTAAAATGTCATGCTAGGTCACAAAGGATAGACCATACTTTTTTCACAAAAGTGTCAAAGGTATATGAGCAACCATAGTCCCTTATTAGAATATTCTCCCTCTTTCAAGTGAAATTTATACTTGGCAAGATTTCTATTAACTCTGGGCACTATGTGAAATTAGAAATGTACTGAAATACTGTATGCTGTATGTCTGAAATACTTTATAATTATACTCAAACCCGCTATTATAGACTAATTATCAAGTTTAAAGATTAGCTGTTTGCTTCACTTTCTTCGACCCAATGATTCAGATAAGGTGAAGAACTGTCCCTCTCTCTGTTTATTTACTGGAGACATTAATAAGCAGTATCATGTCTGGAACTCAGTATTATATTTGTTCATATAAAAGGTTCTGTGCTGACTTCAAACCTAACAGCTTCATAGCAGTTTAACAATTGTACTTTCTGATCTTTAAAAAAGTGTGTGTTTAAAAAAACCAACTACTTTTAAATGGAAAATCACAATTATACAGAAAAAAAAAAAGGATTCAGAAATAAATTTTACCTAAAACTACGGCAATGAGAGTGGTACAGAAATAATAAACCACAGCACGCAGACCAATTTTTCCAGATATGTTGGAATCCAGTGTAGCAACACCTGAAAGGGCGAGAAGTCAAATTATATTACTCGAAGAAAAATTTCCAGGACTGGTGGCAATTCAATCCTCAAGGTGTGAAAAGAGCTGAGCGGTATGTCTTTATCTGCTAGGTCTATCTCACACATTTTGTTAGAATAAATGCATTGGGGGAAAGAACCATTTCAGTATTCCAAATGCAGAATTAAGAGACTGAAGGTTAGTAGGGGGCAAGATCCCCTCTGGCTAAATCCCCACCACCTCAGCTCTCAGTGAGTGCTGTGTCTGTGACTCCTGAGAGGGGTGGTCATGAGACAAGCAAAAGGAGTCCCCCTTTGGCATCTGCTCTAAGAACTTTACCATTGTATCACTCGACATTCTTTTGAGATTCAGTATTAGGGAAAAGTTTACCTTAAAGAACTGAGAAGGTTCTTTCATCACATAATAAAAATCATATAACTCATGATCATTTCCCTTTCTGCCTTTCCTGTCAGGAATCTCAGAGTTAACTAAAAAGATAACTTTTATGTGTGATTATCAAGTAATATATATGTTCATTACAATTATTTAAATAAAGGAAAAAATATAAAGATGAAAACAAAAATCACTTCATGTCATCAGCTGTTGTTAATATTCTGGTGACTATTATTCCCATATCTTTTTCTCAATTTTTTATAAACAGGGCTGAGATAGTTTTATAGTTTATAATCCTCTCTCTTCTAAATACAATATCATAAGCATTTTTCTTATTGTTACAAATTCACCCTGCAGATAATTTTAAAGGCAACATAATCTTCTGTCATGGTGCTGTAACATATAATCTTCTGTCATGTGGCTGTACCATAAGGTATTTAATCATCTCCTTAGTGATGGATTTTTAGATGATATCAGGACCAGATTCAATAATAAAGCACAGTCATTTCATTATCCTTCCTGGCTAGCAGATTTCCTTCTTTTCATGATTTTCAAATTGCTATGTTTAAAACCATATTCTGTATGGCTTTGATTATGAGACTCCTTAAAACCCTTGTTTCAATAAGTTGGGATATAAATGAAAATTTCTGAGGGCAAAGATAATCTAAGAAACTTATGACCACATTGTTTAGATCTAGTTTCAAAAGGTCTTTGGATGGGTGAGAGAACCACTTTTGCCTTATTTCAAATATTCAGAAAAATGACTGAATGTTACTTGACTTACAATGGTTGTATGGAATGCCAAGGATAGATACAGAGGTGGAAAGCATACATCCCCACTTGCTAGAAACCTTTGCCCTCCATCAGAGATGCTTGTATAAATGTGGTCAAATGATGCATCTCTAACTGGACTGCTTCTGTGTGATACACGAAGCCAGGTTGAGAAGCAACCAAATCATCTTTCAGCAAGCTGTCATTTGGAAGTTTCAGACTACCCTGTCCGATTTCCAAAATGAGAATCACATTTTGAATCAAATGATTACCACAGAAAATCATTTTCTGAGTCTTCGACACGCATGAGTTGTTCCAGAACTGTTATCCTGAAGTACAGGGTAGCAGGAAAAATGAAGAGGTTGCCATAAGGCAACCCCAAGGAAAAGGTAGTAAACATGCAGGCTATCCGCAAACACAAGTAGGTTTTATATTCACTCCTCACACTATAAAAGGCCGATCCATTTTTTTTCAAGTGACTAGGGAGGGTGGGATGTTTCAAGAGAACAGCATCGAAACATGTATATTATCTAGGGTGAAACAGATCACCAGCCCAGGTTGGATGCATGAGACAAGTGCTCGGGCCTGGTGCACTGGGAAGACCCAGAGGGATCGGGTGGAGAGGGAGGTGGGAGGGGGGACCGGGATGGGGAATACATGTAAATCCATGGCTAATTCATTTCAATGTATGACAAAAACCACTGCAATGTTGTAAAGTAATTAGCCTCCAACTAATAAAAATAAATGGAAAAAAAAGTGACTAGGGGATTATGCTCCTCAAATATAATCATACATAGTTACGTTTGGGAAAAATCTGTAAGGAAGGTATGATGATGATGATAACAGAAAAAGACATCTCTCACTCTAAACACACCATTCCTCTGGCTGTTGATTGCTTCTTCTGAAGTTATATTTTGAGGGAAGAGGCTCTGGCCTCTAGCAGTCACCCCAGTATGTTGTTAAGGGTTCATTCATCAACCTCCAGAGCAAGACTGCACAATTACTGTATGGTGAGCATATTGCAACAGTCACATCCTAGAATAACCTGGATGGTAAGATTCTATTTCTTTGGGAAAAAGAATGTGGTGTGCTGAGCAGACTTTGTTCTCCTAATGTTCAGACAATTAAAAACAATAATTCTGTAAGAAACCATAATGACAAAAAAATAGTGAAATAAAATGACAACAAAAAGATACTGAAAGCTACAACTCAGAAACCAATGAACTAGCTCATATGTAGTTTCAGTCTCTTAAAAAAAGAGCAAACAATGATGCAAATATATAATCTTGCTAAGTATATTATTTGATTATAAAATGTTCCTATTCTATTTTTGAGCTCTATACATTATTTTGATAAACAATTATAATGATTATTCATGACAATAATGGTGGTTAAAAAAAAGAAAATTACCAATCTAGATATTTAAGTAACCTGTACAAGCACCTGCTCCATGACCTAATGGAAGATGTATTTTCAGATATATTGTCCTTTGCTCGACATCCAGTTTAAGCATCTCCCAGCCCCTAAGGTGCCGACAAGTGACAGATTCGCAGGGTGGCTGCCGAACTGTCCTCGGGTATGTGTCTCCCTGCCCTCTCAGGATTTTCTTCCAGCAGTGAAACAAATTAAATTTATGTGGGTAATTGTTTCCAGCATATGTTAATATGTCTTAATTTGTCTTAATGATTTGGCCACAGGCTGGTGCCTTTGCTTTTATTCCAGGTCCCAGCTGGCAATAAGAGGCTTCATAATAATGAGATTCTTGGTGGAAATACTTTATTTATTTATTTTTTATTTTTTGGAAATACTTTAAACACAGCCCCCAAAGTAGTCAGCTCCCGGCTGTTGTGAGTACAGTAACTCTCTTGTAGTTACTTTCAGGAAGAACTTTGTTCCCCATTTCTCAAATCTACTGAGGTCCTGCAGATCTCCTGGATATATCAGAAATGCATTCAAATCAACAGTCATACTTCTCCACATCTCTAGAGTTACCCCTCTACCTTTCTATCCACCACTGATTGAGGGCAAAGGTGGCACCTAAATCCAGACTCTCAACATCTCGAGGATGTTGAGGATGGGGTGGGGTGTGGCTGCCATAAAGGGAGGGAACATATGCAGGGAAACAGTCCAATATTTGAAAACCTCTATAACAGGAACATTACTGAACTTAACATGAATAGAAAATGTCTGGATGGATAGTCTAGCCACCCAGTTGCCAGTAATAACAAGGATAATGATGATTATTATAATGAAAATGACAATAGACACTGTGTATTGAGCAATGATGAGGGTTGTGTCATCTCCTGATGTTCACTGACTTCCCTGGTGGCTCAGAGGTTAAAGCGTCTGCCCCCAATGCGGGAGACCTGGGTTCGATCCCTAGGTTTGATCCCTGGGTCGGGAAGATCCCCTGGAGAAGGAAATGGCAACCCACTCCAGTCTTCTTGCCTGGAGAATGCCATGGATGGCGGAGCTTGGTAGGCTATAGTCCATGGGGTCGCAAAGAGTCGGACACGACTGAGCGACTTCACTTTCACTTTCATAATCCCACCAGGTCGGCATGATTACTCCCATTTTACAGAGAAAACTGTGGCTCAGAAAGGCTAAGTAACACGCCAGGGTCCTACAGCAGCTGAGCAGTGGAACTGGTTTGACCCCCAAAGGCCAGATCTTAACCACTATGTATGCCACACTGGGTCTATCCATGCGCTACGAAATTCTAGACCAGTGCAGCCCAGCAGACCTTCCTGTGGTGATAGAAATGTTCTCTGTGCTGTCCACTACAGTAGTAGTGGGCACCAGCTACAGATGGCTAGGGAGCAGTTGACATGTGGTTACTGTGACTAAGGAACTGCTTTTAAATGTTGTTTAATCTCAATTTAAATAGCCACATGTGGTTAATGGCTACCATACTGGACATCGACACAATCTCAAGGTCTCACCGGAGTGTCCAACATTTCCTGTGTGCTCAACAATGTTGAATGAAAAAACTCAAGCTTAACTCCATTACAATAAACCAGGTAAATGATGAAGATAAACCAAATAAGCCATCATCTCCTGGTGTGTTTTTCTGTCCCCATGCTGACCACAGCATTCTGAAGACCGAGGCTTATTCTTTTCTGGATCCTCAGTGCATTAAGTAAGGTGCTTTGTGAATTTTGTACTAAATGTTTCCACGTGACAGAAAAAGCTACACTTCTTATGTGTGTATGTGTGCTCAGTCATGTCTGACTCTTTGTGACCTCATGGACTGCAGGCTGCCTGGCTTCTCTGTCCATGGAATTTTCCAGGCAAGAATACTGGAGCGGGTTGCCATTTCTCTCTCCAGGTGATCTTCCCAACCCAGGGATCGAACCTGCATCTCTTGCACCTCCTGCATTGGCAGGCGGGTTCTTTACCACTGTGCCACCTGGGAAGCCCACTGCACTTCTCATGGCTCCTTACAAAGTGAGCCCATTTCAAAGATCTCCTGTGTTAGAGATTAAGGAACTTGGCAGGTAATCTCCCTAAAAACCACTCACACAGGGCAGTTTGGTATGGTTCCCAGAGTGGCAAACAAGAACGCTTTTCACTCATAACAGACCTCCATGTGAGAACATATTTAGCATTTTAGTGTTTCTCTACTTTTTTTTTCATTATTATGTGCTCCAACGGACTTGCCCCTTGCAGAGTGTTTTAGATATTTTTTTGCTCGTTGCCACACCATGAAATTTTAATAGCACAAACTGTACATCTGTTCATATACTAAATGTGTGTGTATATATACATATACATATATATACATACATATATATATATATATATATATATATATATATATATATTGCTCTTTACATTG